ATCGGTGTCTGGATCCAATTAAATAGTTTTATTGTTATCATTATTATTATTGTTATTATTATTATTGTTATTATTATTATTATTATATTTTTATTTTTGGTTTTTATTTTTCTATTTTTTTATCTTCTTTACTGCTTTTCTTTTTTATTCAACCTACACGTGGATGAGAAAATCAGGATCAAAATCCTTTGATCAACATAGAATCGAATTAATATGATTACTAAAATTTTGGACCCAAAATCTCTTTTGGATAGAATGCAATCTTAGGATTCAAGCCTGGGATTGATTATATTCATTTCCTAAATTTGTTCATAGGATTGCCTATAAATTGGACTGATTCTAATACTGAGGACACACAGAAACATAGAAGAAATTGGGATAAAATTATTAAGAGAATTTTGGAAAAATTTTAGCAGTAAGGGTTTTTGGGATTTAAAAATTGAGATTCAAGGTTTAATTCGAAGTTTTGGGGTGATTCAAGGCTTCTGAAAGTGAAATTAAGGTTGCAGAAGGTTCAGGAAAGGTTTAGAGTTATCTGGGAATTTTTTTGGATTTTTTTGAATTTTTTAAGTTTTTTTTTGGGTTTTTGAAAAGTTTTGAATTTTTTAACGAAATTTTTCAATGAAGGTTGAAGTTTCCGGTGAGATTCTGATAAGATTTCCAAAATCTAGCATGTTTTCCAAAAACTAGTGAGTTTTCTAATTTTTGGTTGAATTTTCCAGTGACATTCTTAGAAACTGGTGAGATTCTCAGTTTTCGATTGAATTCATCGACGAATTTTTTAAAAAGAAGACAGAGGAAAATTGGCTAGAGAGAGAAAGAGGAAGAGGTTTCTGCAGGAAAATGTTGAAACTTAACCTTTATACTGTAGCTGAATGGCATTGTTTTGGATAAGCTAGAATCCACTATAGACCCAGTGACCTATGTGCAAACCTACGCTCCAACCTGACCCGATCGTAAATTTTTCTTATTTTAATTTATTTTAAACTTATTTTTATTATTATTTTTTGGTTTATTTTTTTAAAAGAAAAAGGAAAAAAATTATTTTGTCACTTTTATTTCTAAAAGAAAAAGTTCAAAAAAAAATGAAGTTCTAAAAAAAAAGAGAGAAAAAATATAATTCCATAAAAAAAATCCTTTCAATAAAAAATAAAAAATATATATTTTCAAATAAATAAAAATAATTTTCATCCTCTAAACTATTTGAGGATTACTTTGAAGTGAGCACTACTAAATTATTTGGAGGCTGCATTAATTCTTTTTTTAAATAAAAATTAATAAATCTGACGTTGAAGCCTCTTCATAGTAGGGCACTAGTCTCTATGAATACTCATGAGGTGAAAGAATTATCCTAAATTACTACCAAACTATTGGGACAATTTTAGGGTTAATTTTTAATACTAAATTATTTGGTAAAATCATAAAATGATCAAGGCTTGGATAATTCGAAATCAAATTGGTACCACATTTTAGATGGGCATTGTAAGGGTGCTATAACCTTCCCTAAGCGTAACCGACTCCCGAACCTAACATATGTTTTACAGACCAGATTCAATTAGGTGATCAATCACACCTAAATAAAAGAGATTAGTGGCGACTCTTTATAATCCATGTCTAGCGGTAGGTTCACGAATCTATACGTTATGACAATAGCTTATGAAAGATTACTATTATCATTTATGCATGTATTGAATGAATCTTTTATATGCTTGATGTATGTGTGCTCTATGAAAGTTATTGAATAAAATAGCTAACAATTGGTATCAGAATTACTAAAGAATTTTTTAACTTTCATGCACAATTGTTTATGTGACTATCCATGATATAGCTTGTACCTTTCATGCAAAATTATGTGTGCTTTAAATTGATTAATCTTTATTTTGAAAAGAAAAAAGAGATCTTAGAATACAATTTTGCTTGATTTATTTTGTGATAATAATTGGAATACTTTGTGATAACATATATTTAATAATTGGTATGAGCTTTATGCATGTGCTTGAATTTATTCTTAATTGCTATTGATGTTTTAGGTTCTAAGTACATCTTATGCTAACATGGTTCATGAGTTGGTTCATTCATTATCCTTTGCTCATAAATTTCATGTAATAAATTTGATGATTTATGCTAAAATGCTAAAATTGGATACATTACAATACTTTTATGCTTTTATGTTTGAATACATATATTGAAACTTGATTATGAACATCACTTGATTACATGCATTCAAAAATACTCTTGATATTATTGGTATCATGTATTTTGTCTCATGCCTTGAATTGTTCTCTCTTTCTTTTGCTATGATAACAAGGAGGTGAGTTTAGTCTTATTTCTTCTTGTATGGTTATAGCAATTGATATAGGAGTTTAAACATTTGGTATAAAGAGTTTAAACAAAAAATGGGAGAAATGTTTTATGAATATATTTGCTAATACCTTTTTGTATTTATTTACTCATGCCTTTTTGCTATGACAAAAAAGAAGAGAAATATTTTATGGATAAATTTGCTTGTGCTTAATATACATATATTTATGTGTGCTTAATTGTTATATATGCTCTAATATATGTTAGTTGAGTTATGTTAAATTAGGATGCATAAATTGAGGGAAAGTTTTGCTAAGTTGGTGTTTTTCAAAATGTTTTTCAAAAATCTTAAATGTTTTAAAGAAAGTTTTTTATCTAGCAAATTTATTTTTAAATTTTGTCATATCAAAAGAGGGAGATTGTTAGCTATGAATTGATTCTTATTTTGAAATGAAAAAAATATTAAGTTAAATAAGCTTGATCAAGATTTTAAAAAATATTTATTTAGTACATGTTCTTGAGTTTTATATTTTGGTACTAAATAAATAATATGATTTTTAAAGTTTAAATGAATATTTCTTCATGTTTTCTTATTTTTTAAATCAAAACTATCTTTAAATATTATTTATTTGAGTTTAAATGAAAGTTCAATTGTTGTTTTAAAGTGAACTTATTCATTTTGGATTCAATACAATTTTGATAATATTGGCTTTGAGAAATATATTAACTTAAGAAAGTTGTTTTACAAAAACAAAGTTTTTCAACATTAAACTTATTTTATTTTTTTGTATTAATTCACGAAGTTTTAATATTTTAATTTTATATGGTTGGAAAGCTCTTTGAATCTACTTCCTAATGGATTAAACAAAATCAAAATCCAAAATTTTTTAAGATAAGATTTTGAATTTTTACTAGACACTTTGTAATTGTTTAAAAATTGCACAAGAGCTAGATTTAAAAATTTACTATAATTCAAATACAATGAATTAAGTAATGAATTTAATTGGATAGAAAACCCTTTAAGTCTAGTTTCTAAATCTTCAACCTGTGTTTGATTTGGAATTATATAACTTAAGATATGATCAAATTAGTGAATAGAGTGCAAAATAGGAGGTAACCATCTAACTTGATTGGATTGATCTCTTAGGTTACAAAGATCGATCCCCTGGCTAAACCAATCGATCCCTTATTGTAATGGATCAATTGATTTTTCTTACAGAAACAAAATAGATTTGAAAAACACCAAAACGGATTGATCCCCTATAAGAAGGGATCGATCGGGTAAGGCATATGATTGATCCCCTGTGCCCAGAAAAGCTCTAACGCTAGTTTTTTCAAGCTTCGACGATTTTTTTCAACTCTAAACTATCCCCAACAACTAGTTCTTCAATTTCTTTATAAATTGGGCATTTTAACACACTAAAAAAGTTGATGAATCAAGAGAATAATATCAAATAAGCCATATATTCATTCTATCAAATAAATTAAGAGTTTTATAGCTTTAAAGTCTATATCTTTGTATTTGTTGTATCTAAATCATATTTGTTGTTCATTTATCATTTTTTTGTATTTAAGCTAGCAAACACTTAGCCTTAGAGAGGTTGTTTTATTTTTTTCAAATTACATTTGATATGCAAAGATGGAAAAGAATAAGAGGTGATATATCTCTCTTGAGAGTTTTGTAATGAGATTGAGTAAAATACTATAAATAGTAGATGTTTCTATCTTAAGCCTTAGAGAAAAAAAGATAAGATTGTATTTTTAATTTAAGATTAATGAATTAAAATCTTGATGTGAACAACCAAAAAGAAAGGACATGATACCTTGTGAAAAATGATCAAACCTCATTATTTAGAAAAAACTTAGAGAAATCCAATTTGCTCAATCTTAGATTATCATCTCATTTAAAAAACTAACAAAATGTATGAGACTTAATGAAATAATATACATGTTTTTTCTTTTTTCATTTAAGTCTAATCTCATCTCCTATTTTGTTGCTTTTATTCAATGAATACCAACTAAATTTTTTTATTATCCTTTGATAAAATTATTCCTTTTCTTTTTGGGTAGGTGTTAATCAAATAATTGTTTACAATAGAGTTGTACATAAAAATATATGTAAGATTCAATTTTTTTTACTTATTTAATTGAAGACTTTTTATATTTTTTAAATTCATAAATTTTGAAAATAAAAAAAAATATATTTCAATTAAAATATAAACTAAAATTCATGCTAACAAAAAGGAATAAAAATACTTTTTATTAAATAAAAATTAAAATAAAAGTGTTCATACAAATACGCATTTAATGATAATATCAATCAACTATTAATTTTTTATAATAAAAATTAAATATAAAATTATATTAATTAATGTAATGCAAATATTAAAAATGATTTTAACTTTCATGCTGATATATGTTATTTCAATAAATTATTTTATACTATTATTTTGTAATTTGAAAAAATAAAAATACAAAAATAATATCTTTAATAAAATAAAATAAATATTTATTTATCTTATATGTAAAATATTAATTTATAAAAAATATATAATAAATGAAAATTATATTTGTACTTAATTTTATTTTTAATATAATTTAAAAAAAATGAAAATTCTAATAGCTTAAAAAAGTTTTAACCTACATTAAAAATATTGATTACGCAATAAATATTCGCTAACAACAATTATTACCACAATCCTAAAACTTGACGCCCCGTCATTAGTCATTGCCTTTGTTTTCTTCCTTGTTCTAAACGTTGCCGTTGTCTCTCTCTTTCTTTCCTGATTTTCGCTCTCTCAAATTTTACGGTTTGCAAACTAGGCAGTCCATCGCTCGTGAGAAATTCTGACTTCTTTAAACATTACCAGTCATTTAAAGGAAGAATCCTACCGACTGTAGCTTTTTTAATGAAGAACCCGAACCAATGGTAGGGTTTTTTTTTATTATTTAATTGACTTGATTAAGTTCTAATTTGGTCGTTTAATTTGCCTTCCTTTTTATGTCTCTATCGGTTATTTTCTGTGAATGTATCTCCTTGGTTTTATCAAGTTTGAATTTTTGAACTTGTAATGAAGTCGACTTGCTAACTGGCTTTGTTCTGTTTTTTTGTGGGGCTTTGAACTTGCATTTTTTTTTTTATTTGTTTGGTTTTAGGTTGATAGGAATTTGTTGTTGTTGTTTGTTTTAGTGGGGGCAGGGGGGAGCAATGGTGCTGTATAATTTTGAATAGAAACTGAAACTTTTTGATGGGGTGATTAGTAATTTTTGCGTGATAGGTTTTGATTTATTTAAATCGTTTGACTCGCTTAGAGAATCAGATGAGGAATACCCATTTTAGTTGAGGGGACCTTGTTAATGAATCTGGAAAAAGAATTTAGGAATTATACGTAGCGCTGTACAAAAATTAGTAATTGTTCAAGGAGATTAGGCCTCTGTTTTCGTAAGGAAATTTAAAGATAAACACATTTTTTTTGAGGAAAAAGGGGAGCCCCTTTCTCATGAATTCATGTAGAATTAAGGTTCTGTATTGTGCCATTGGCATAGGTGTACTTCTCTAAGTAGAATTGAACATACTTCCTAAAATCTTGGTGCTTGCTCCAATAGCTTGTTGTTTGCCACTGCAACAACCGTAAATGGCCAATTTAATAGATAGCTTTTGACGATGAATGGTAAAGTTTTATTTGTTTGGTTCAGTAAAAGCGTATATTAAGATTGTTAATAAGTTGATTTTGTACTTTGCTAACAAATGGTAATTAAATCTTCATAGAGTTTCTTGGTTTTCATCAAGTCAAGATTTTGATGTTTTCTTTTCATTTTTAAATGATTTCGCTTATTTGTTTAATGCTGTTGTGAAGGAAGTGGTTGTTAGATGTTTGACCACGTGGATCACCTTTGTGATTTCCTAGGTTCAGCTCGTACAAGTTGCTCTTTCTTAAATGGATGATTTTGCAGGATAATTTTAAGATACCCCATACTGGTTAGTGGAAATATTCTACATTTTTTATGGCAAAATGGGGGTGGGTTGTAAATGTTAGTATTTTGTAGGCCACAGATTATTTCTTACCACTGGTTGAGTTTCCTTTTAGGAATCTGCTTTCTGCTTCAGCTAAGGATAAAAAAAGTAACTTTTCAACTCTAATGGCTGCTATGAATTCAATAGACATTAGTTCTTCTAATAGTGAGCTGGAGATAGAAGATGTCGGAAACAAAAATACCTCATCTTTAAGGGTTCTTCCAGAATGGGCAGTTACACATGGCACAAATTCAAGGAGTACTGGTTAGTCTGTGGTTTGCAAACTTACCATATGGTCTGAGTTTCAAAGTTCAATGTTTTATTCACAATGACCCATATAAACATTTGTAAATATGCAGGGTATGCTAGGCAGTCTCAAAAGATTCCTTCTCCCAATCAAGCACGGTTTTCTAATTTAAACTCTTCAAATGTAAATAACCATTCATGGCTAAAAGTTCTGACAAATGACCCCAGTGACAAAGTTAAAGCCTCAACTCAACTTATTGCCCTAGATGATGGTCCTGAATATTTTACCGGGAATGGGAATATTGGTCAGCCTCGGACTGCTAATCCAGGAATTGCTAAAGGTTCTGGCTCTGATTTTGAGAAACTGACATCTCAGAAGGCTCTAAAGAGGATTCTTCCTCCATCTCTTCAACTCTCTGGACCAAGTAGTAAATCGGACAATTTAGTGGAGAATGTAAGCAGCAATCAGATTCTTGATGCTCACGGAAGCTCTAACCATTTGGCTGGCCCTAGTTTTTCCAATAGTCAGGGCTATATGAGAGATCATTATAGCAGGGGCAATAATGCTGAAGTTATGTACAGAAACACTAGTAGGATCCTTCCTCCATCTTTGATGCTTGGAAAGTCTGTTAATTATACACAGTTTGCCGGTTCTAATGATCCTCTATATCGTGCTGGAGTAAGCGAAGAAAGAGTTCCTGTAAATGATGAGAGAATGATTTATCAAGCAGCACTGGAGGTATTTCTTGTTGGATCTGAGACTTTCCTCTTTCTTATCATGATTTGACATTTGATGATCCACTACTGATTATGGAAATTCTGCATCTTACATTGGGGTGATGTTATTTTGATAAGAAGGAGCTATATCCTCATTCTGCAATTTTGTTTTTTTGGTTTGTAAAATACAAACTCTATGGTTATTTATGTTTAAGACAAACTTGCTGGACTTCTGAATTTTACCTCAGACAAACATGCTACTGTGGCTATTTACAATTGTGAATTTAATTAACTTTCTTATGCTAAAATTATCGAGTATGAATTTGGCCATAGGTTTCTTTTCTTGCCTTTTTGCCCTTGTGTCTTTCTTCATGTGATTTGTGTGTACACAATAATATTTTGTTGTCTTCTTTATATTTCAAGTTGCTAAAAAATTGTTCCATATTTCATGTGTTTAGAAAGATTAAATATGAGGGGCTTATGTTTCTTGCAGGACCTCAACCAACCAAAAGTTGAAGCTACTCTACCTGATGGTCTTTTGTCTGTTCCTCTTCTCAGACATCAGGTTATATTTTTTACCCGTCATGGACGATTCCTTGGTTTATGTTGGTGGTTATTTCTTTTTTTTTTTTTTGTCCATGTTTCATGGGTTATTTAATCATTGAATTTTGCAGAAGATTGCATTACATTGGATGCTTCATAGAGAAACAAGAAGTGGATATTGTTTGGGTGGAATATTAGCTGATGATCAGGTTACTTGTTTAAAATCCAGTGTTAATTTTATTTATATAAATGATCGATGTTCCTTCGTGCATAATTTGTAGCATAATTTTTCTGCTGATACTGATGATGGCTTGATCTTGCAGGGCCTGGGTAAAACAATCTCAATGATTGCTCTTATACAAATGCAGAAGTTTTTAGAGTCCAAATTAAAATCAGAAGATCTAGCAAAACACAAAACTGTAGCACTGAATTTGGATGATGATGATCATAGTGGTACTGGTGGGTCAGACAAAGTAAAGCAGAATGGAGAATCTGATGATACCAAGTCAATTCTGGAAGTGAGTACTTCTACTGGGGCATTCAGCAGACAGAGGCTACCAGCAGGTACATTGGTTGTGTGTCCAGCAAGTGTTCTTCGACAGTGGGCCAGGGAGCTGGATGATAAAGTTGCAGAAGAATCGAAACTTTCAGTCCTCATCTATCATGGAGGCAGCAGAACCAAGGATCCTTCTGAACTTGCCAAGTATGATGTGGTTCTTACAACATATTCAATTGTCACCAATGAAGTTCCTAAGCAAGCTATAGTTGATGATGATGAGAGTTATGAAAAAAGTGGGGAAAAATATGGATTATCTTCTGAATTTTCAATTAACAAGAAGAGGAAGAAAACATCTAATGTTGGTAAGAAGGGTAAAAAGGGTTCTGTTATTGATTCTAGCGCTGGTGCACTTGCTAGAGTAAATTGGTTTAGGGTGATACTGGATGAAGCTCAAACAATAAAAAATCATCGAACACAAGTTGCTAGAGCCTGCTGCAGTCTTCGGGCCAAGCGGAGGTGGTGCCTATCTGGAACACCTATGCAAAATGCTATTGATGATTTATATAGCTACTTCAGGTTCCTGAAACATGAACCATATTTTCTATATAAAGCATTTTGCAATGGGATAAAAGTTCCAATAGCTAGAGATTATGTAAAAGGTTACAAGAAGCTGCAAGCTGTTTTGAAGACAGTAATGCTGCGCCGTACAAAAGGTGATTCCCTTCTCTAACAATAGTTAGGAGGTGGGTTTTGGTGTATTAGGAGAAACTTCATACTTTGCCCCTACAAACTCTAAACATACTTCATATCTTCCCATAGTATGTGCGATTTAGGCCCCTAAACCCCCCATTTTATGGATTCATCCTTGTCATGCAGAAGTAATATTACCGCTTTTGCATTTGACAATTATCAATAACTGTATTATCTAATATAGATGTGCTGTATTTGAATTTAAGCTTTGAATCTTTATTGCTGTTTTGACTGATTTGATTAGTTTCTATCTAGCAACATTGGTCAATGGGGAGCCAATAATTAAGTTGCCGCCAAAGTCAATTCAGATGTCTAAAGTAGACTTCACAGCCGAAGAGCGGGCTTTCTATATCCAGCTAGAAGCTGACTCACGTTCTCAATTTAAGGTGCCTTTCATTCTTCATATTTGTTACCACTTTCAAGTCGCTTTTTAAAACATGTGATTGTTGTACCATTTCAATCAGAATTATCCTTCTGTTTTAATTTGCATCTGCAGCATATTCCACCTTTGGTGTTTGTCAAATGAAGGCCTTTTTTTTAATCCCTGGGTGGTGCGTATCTGAAATATGAAGTTTAAATCCCTATTATTGTTCTTCAAATCATTATGTTCTATTTCTGCACAAAATATAGTTTGGGGAATGATAATGAAATGATTCTAGTAATTTTTCTCCTTCAACAAGGAACGTCCACCTCTCAGGCATGATTCATTTTTTTGTTATTTTTTGGGGTGGGGAGGTTTGAATAATGTTGCAATGCGATTAAAAGTTTGCAGTGTTATTGTGTAGCAAAAAGATGTCACATGATTAAGACATGGGATGGTGCAGGTGATGAAACCATCAGCTGTGCAGGAATATGATAAAGTTCCCCTTCCCTTTTCTTGAACCATCATTCGACATTATTTCCTGAACCAAAATAATAAGTGGGGTTTTTTGTGAACTTTGTTGAAGTTAAGAGAACTAACCCTGTGGATGATTACTGTATTTTTTCTCCATTAGGCTGCAGTTTGTAAGATGGATAAGAACTTACTCTCTCATAAGAGTATGATAATTAACTTCTCTGTGTTTATGTTATTATAATGCATGGAGATATTTAGTTGATAGTATGTATCCAATTTCATTGCCTTAGTGTCCAAAATTTTCAGACTCAACTGCCTCTTCTTCGTTATTACCTAGAATCTATCTTTTATTTAGACTTTAGGTGGACATGGAATCTTACTGTAAGTGGGGCAGCTAAATTGTTTATATATATATATTTTAACTTCTTTTGTAAGCCTTATAGTGCAAATTGGGTTCTCGAACATTTTCCATTAACATTATCAATAATCTGGTTCAATTTTGCAGAATGTACAAATTGGTCCACAACAGTTTTTTGTTATACAAAATCATAATGATTATTATGCTCGAATGTAATTGCCTGATAATACACTTTACTAGGATTAATTTTGTAATTTAAAGATTTAATTTGTGTCAGAGAAATTGTTTTTTTGCTGTAATTTACAAGCATTTGATTTCTGTTGGTGTCTTCTGAACATATCATTTACAATGCCTTGACCATATTTCATTTACACTAATTTCATGCTCATATCAGTCTGACATCATGCTGTAAATATGGAGTAACCTAAACTTTGCAGTAAATTTTTTTGCTCATGTGAAGATTAAATCATGCCTTTCAATATTCTCTATCATCTGATAGTTACACTTCTTGTAATATATGTTTCCTACAGGCATATGCAGCTGCTGGCACTGTGAACCAAAATTATGCAAATATTCTTTTGATGCTTTTGCGCCTACGCCAGGCTTGTGATCATCCTCTTCTTGTCAAAGGATTTAACTCTGATTCCTTTCGAAACTCTGACTCTCTTGGACAAGTTTCTGTAGAAATGGCAAAGAGACTTCCTAGAGAAATGCTGATTAATCTACTGAACTGCTTGGAAACTTCCTTTGCCATCTGTCTTGTATGCAATGTGAGTTTTTCTTGAACGTAGTATTTTCCCTAAATATGTCTCTATTGCACATAATCTGAATGTTTTTAGTATAGCAATGACTTATCTGTAATTTTTATATGATGGCATTTCTTCGGAATATAAGCAGGTTCCCTGTCATGGTAATTTTTAATATTTTAAGACCCAAGGTGAGGCAATTGCAATTCAAAGTGTTCAATCCAGAAAGGGTAACACGCCTAAAATTATTGGAGTGGGAGTGTGGGTTTCTAGAAGGGTTTTTTTTTTTTTTTTTTTGGTTTTCTTGCTACTTAATTATTACTTTTTGTCACCTGTAATACTCTTTGGACAAGGCAGTAGATTTGAATTATTTTCCAATTCCTACTCCCACAGTATTTGTCTAGCTAGCTGAAAAGTATACTGTTTCAAAAAAATCGGTATGATTATTCTAATGCTTAATGTTTAATGTTTTTTTTACAGGATCCACCTGATGACGCTGTTGTTACCATGTGTGGTCATGTTTTCTGCTATCAGTGTGTGTCAGAATATCTGACAGGGGATGATAATATGTGCCCTTCACCTGCATGTAAAGAACAACTTGGTGCTGATGTAGTTTTCTCTAAAGCTACTTTTAGGAGCTGTATTACCGAGGATCTTAATGGTAGTCCCATGCATCCTCAGTTGTTTGAAAAGTCAGTGATTTTACAGGATGAGTACAGTTCATCAAAAATCAAGAATGTCATTGAAATTCTTCAGTCAAGATGTTTATTGAAGAATTCAAGTTCTGAATTACAAAGTTCTATTGGATGCAGTGAAACTTCTTCATCTTCCGAGCACACAACAGATTATTCAAGCTCACTAGCCGATGGACCAATAAAAGCAATTGTTTTCTCACAGTGGACTAGTATGTTGGACTTGGTTGCGCAATCACTACGTAATCATAGTATAAACTTTAGGAGGCTTGATGGGACAATGTCTTTAGCTGCACGAGACAGGAGTGTCAAAGATTTCAATACTGACCCAGAGGTTTGTTTCTACCTCATGAATTTAAATAATTCCCCAATTCCAATAGGTTGTTTCCTAGTGGGCTGGTTAGTCATTATTTTGTAGACTTGCATGCATACGTGCATATATTCTGTAAACACTTGAATAATCATTAAGAGCATGCTTTAATGTTTTACCTTAGTAAATCAATGATGTAGAACATGATGTAATTCTGTTTCTCAACTTTTCCCATCAATTGATTTTCTTGCAGGTTACTGTGATGCTGATGTCATTAAAAGCAGGAAACCTTGGTTTGAATATGGTTGCTGCGTCTCATGTTATCCTCCTGGATCTTTGGTGGAATCCAACTACTGAAGACCAGGCTATTGATCGAACACATAGAATTGGACAGACTCGTCCTGTTACTGTATCTCGGATCACCGTTAAAAACACGGTAGAAGATAGAATATTATCTCTTCAGGTATTTTCTTTCTATAGATTGTGCTATGACTTAGAATTGTCTCCAATTAAAGATGTAAATATAGATAATTTGATGGGGATGGGGATGGATGGGTATTGCCTGTGGTTGAACTCTTATTTTCCTTTAATTCTCTCTGGTTCTTGTATATTTGATGGATCGACAGTGAAAGCAATATCATTTTCTTGTACCATTAAAGGGCCTGAAGTGTTCAAGGTCAGATAGGCTCTCTCTTACCAGAATTTGCCACTTGTTATAGTTAAGGAAGCCAACTGACTTAGCAACTTTGGTTAGGGGTGTGAACTATTAATTATTTCTGGTGTTATTGATTTGGATGTCATTACCAGGATTGCTGTATAATAATTGTTCAGTATGACCTTTTGCATCTTTTCTGGAATTTGCAAGACCAGCAAATGTGTTAGCCTTTGGAGATGAAGAATTTGCATTGTTGGCAGGCTGGTGAATATTTGTTGTGTAATACTTGTCTTTTTCGTTTGCCTCTATGTAGGAAGAAAAAAGAAAAATGGTTGCTTCTGCTTTTGGTGAAGATCAAAGTGGGTGCTCAGCAGCTCGATTAACTGTTGAAGATCTCAGATATCTATTTATGGGAGATTAGCCATCTCATTTTGTCGTATTCTTCTGCCTTATATTTTCCTACTTGAAGTTTCCATCAAGAAACTTTGAGATTTGAAAATTTTTCATCACAACAGGGAATTGCACACATCTAGTTCCTGCTAAATGTTGTCCCTTATGTTTTATAAATTAAGATGGCGACTTATGTGAGATTTTTGAAGTCCAGAGGCCTTTATTGGTTACCATCAGGTGCAGAAATAGGAAGGTAAGGCTGCCTGTAAATATTCTAATTATTTTGTAACTTATGGTTTTTGTAGTTAACCTCCTTTCTTCTTAACGTAATACATGAATCTTATTTCCGAATTACTGTGTTTGTCTCTAAGCTTTCCCTGTTTCACCTTAAATTCCCCTCTCCTCACTGAAGAAAGGTCGAAAATGGAAAGCAAAGAAGCTGCAGTATGGACTCAATCTACATTTTCCGCTAACAACCCTTTTCCGTTTGCGGTTTGTCGATTAAAGGGTATGCTATAGTCAGTATAGGTTGATTGGGAAGAGAAAATGCGGGCCTTGTAATTGGTGTATTTGTATGTTGTTTGTATTGAATTAAATATGTATAAAATATGAAAAATTATCATTTTATGATTTTTGTCAAATGTATATATAATTTTTGTTAAAATTTTAAAATTTTGCAACTTTTGTTTATTGGTCCGCATTGTTTCGTCATGTTATATGTAAGAGTTAATTATACTTTTGATATATGAACTTTAAAAAATATATATAAATTGACACTTAAAAAGAATAAAATGTATAATCTTAAACCAAATTCTAATTTGTTAACTTAACTCATGGTATCTAATCAATATATTTTGTTTTATCTATATTATTTGTTAAATAAAAATATTAAATATTTTGTAATAATTTTCATGTGATGTCATGTGATTAAAAAATGATTGATCAGTTTTAAATTTTTTTTTAGAGAAATTAAAATACATATTTTTAATTTACATTAAAAAATAATAATAATGTGTGACAAACACATAATTTGATGATATTTATTGAACATTATATATATATATAAATTGTTTGCACATTTTCTCAAATTTAAAATATAAAAAAATTAATTAATTTTATTTAAAATTAACATGTGTTTAAAATTACGACGTAGTGAGACTCCTTTTGAGCGGTGACTATGAACAACTTCACTTTGATTGGCCTTCGGCCCCACAAGAAAAGAGTTGAGAACAAAGAGAAATTGAATTGAACATGCAGCAAATTCTAGTTCCCCTAGCTTGATTGACACTGACTGTACATATTTTTTTTTGTTTTCCTGCTTTTAATGAGAAAATACATTCCCTAGCAAAAGTCGTTTCATCCACTGAGTTATCTTTTTCTATCCTTCTTTCTTTTATGTTGTTTTTTTGTTGTCATACTCATCTATTTCACATATATTTTGGATTTTAACCTCGTAGGATAGAGGATGGAAGCTTGTGTATAAACAAACAAAAAGTCCAATAAAGGAAGAAAATCATCCCGTGAGCTTCCGTTGCATTAGGCTTTTTGGGGGGACGATGTCCCCTTTGAGCCGAAATGACATATGGTAAGAGAATTTTTGTTCACGGTGAAAATTTTTGGTTACCCTGTTCAGGGTTAAAAACTCGTTGTGACAACCATTGACAGGTGATAAGACAACCATTTGAATTCCCACGTTAAGGCATTGTCTTGGGTGATGGGTTTTTTTTTTTTTTTTTTTGAAGTATATCCCAAACGATCCTGATTTTCTGCCAGAGCTTCGCCTTTGATTTTGTTGATTCCACATTTCCCCTTCTTTTCTCCTAAAGCAGCAAATTGGTTGGCGGGAAAAAGAAGATGCCTTTGTAAAAAGTCATTGCTTGAACGCATTATTTCAACTTAGGGCTTAAACAAGGCCTAGTGATGGCTTCACATGACCACCGAAATGGTGGCTCCCCCTCAACCCCCCCCCCCCCCCCCGGCCCTCATGATTTCAACACTATAGCCCCTTTGAGAAAGACAGCCAAAGGAATCTCCGTGTGTCGAGATGTTGTAAAGAAGCAGGTGCGCAATCAGCAATTTGCAGGTCAATCAAAGTCATTTCCACCCAAAGCCGTGAACTACCTCCCTACTATTATTATACATATGGTGCAAAAGCACCATGCTGGATCCTCTCATGTTTACACAAAAGGGTGCTCCGGTACCCAAGTAAAAGATCTTTTTCATGATTCTTTCTTTTGACTGTCTGCAGATTTGACTCTTACTCTTTAATACCCTTAACTTTGATTTCACCATGGTTGCCTCTTTGCGTAAACTTTACTAAATCACATTATATATATATATAAAATCATAAACTATAAAGCAAGTAGTATATGACATTATTAATACATCATACTCTTATGTTTATAATAGTACTCATATGAATATACTTTTTTTATTTTTTTTGTTTATAATTAAAGTTCGAATTCCAAACTTTCAATTTTAAAATTGATTTCAATTTCAATCAACTTAACTCCTAACAAAAGTCACTATTTCTTTACATCATCAGCTTAGCAAACATTGGGGCCAAACCCCACGAACCCATTGGCTCCATCAAAGGAAATTTGGATCCCCTCTTGCTGGATGTTCCCTATTATTGAAAGTCCTGAAGCCGAGGCAGCAAATGCAAAACAAAATGTTCCCACATCATCAACAGGAATAAGAAAGTTACTTGCGGGTAGGGTCAGGATTGGCCCGCCAGAAAAATAAAATGACATCGTTGGAACCCGAACTGAGACAAATTCCGATAAGTTATAACAAGTATCAAATATGGATACTCCGGAGGCCCGGGGGAGGTTAGCCGTTTGTGCAATAAAGGCGTCGCGCAAGGCATTATAAGCCAAGGTTGGGAACCTTGTCACGGCGGTGCCAGTGTCCATAACCACTCCTCCATTCCCCAATTCAGTAAGCTGAAAAATGTCTTCGGATACGGGCACCCGAATGCCCCCTACTCCAAGACCCGAAAGCCCAACATAGTAAAAACTCGGGGCCTGTGGGTTACGTAGCAAAGGGATCCATGCAGCACCCACGGGCATTGCTCCGCGCCCAAATACCAATGACCCGGATGCATCAGTGCCCCGACTCACTAAACAGTAACTAAATGCACCCCCAGTTTGACCACCGAGTTGACCCACAAGTGACATGGATCCACCTCCAAGGCCCAGCAACCCGGCTGCCCCAATGAACATGCCCCGGTTAATATGCCCACATCCAATAGCCACATTTTTAACCACGGTTCGACCAAAAGTAAGTGTTTCGAACGCAAGCGTCCCTTTTGTATAAGACCCATCACCATACATGACTTCATAACGACACCGACCCGCATGGCAACCCGGATTCTCTATCCGGTAACAAACAGAAGAGCTACAAGAGACGCCAGCGTAAGTAGCAGAATCAGCCGGATCAAAAACCGGGTCGGATTGTCTATAACATTCGTCACAAGGCTGACACTGGACCCAAACAATATCACTGCCTGAATCAATAACCATATATTGATTTCTTGGAGGGCTGCCAACCCCTATTCTCACAAAGTACTCTCCACTTCCTTGGTCCATTCCTGAAACGACATCTGAACCAAAATCGTTCAATTCATAAACAGCCTCACCGTCGTGGCTTCCGCCTCCAGAGAAGCGGAGAAGGAGACTTGCCACCCTTTTCACGTCCCTTTGCATGCGTGCATGAAAACGGCGGCTATGGTCGTGGACAGCGTTCGTATTGTTTGAAGATAACCTGTCCCTATGGACAAGTTTCAGCTTCCAGTTCCCTTGATCACTTTCACTAACGTTGGGAAGTTTGTGATATTCAGATGTTTCGAGAGGCCTCAGCCTTTTTGTCTCAATGAGAGTTTGTTTCGCGTTCAAGAGTTGAAAGTCAGGGTATGAGGTGGCGGCGATGTTACTTAGAGTCAGGTGTAGCATGGCCACCAGGATTATTGGCAGTGCTGGGGAAGCAAACATGGTTGAGGTTTTTCGTGGTTTGAGGAGTTGGGGGTTTGAGGAGGGATTTATTTGAGACCGGTATTGGCTTCGGGATCACGTGTAGAAGGAAAAAGACATGTGGGGTTTGGAATAATAAACCGAGTTGAAGTGGTTTCTGCTTTGGTTCTGTAGTTTTGTTTTTGGAGTGATCAAGAGTTTGAGAGAGCAGAGTGTCTTTGGTGCCTTTATGAGTGATGTTATGATGACCCAAGAGTGCATAGAATTCTAATTTGCATCTTTTTGAGAAAAAAACTTTTGAACCTTCAACAAGGTAGACAATTTTGGTTTTGGTTGTGTCCAGCTATTTTAACTTTGTAATATTAGCTACTGTCCCTACTTATTGAACACCAATTTCAAAGCGCAGCCATGAACGCACAGTGTATGAAATCAACGGGAAAGGCTTTGAGAGAAACCAAACAAGAAGACCCTTAATTTGAGATCATTCCATGAAACTATATATGAATTGAGTGCTTTTTGTCATTCAATTAATCTTACTTTCATGTTTTAAATTTTGTTTTGTATGTGTATATATGGCCATTTTAGGGGAAAGAGGCAGGAAGCTCTGGGTTTTTTTTTTTTTTTTTTAATCATCTTTATAAAAGGGCAACGTTAATTGAAAACTCCATGCCCTTGGTGGGCATGGAATCATATTTCTAATCAGTGCCTTTCTCTAAATTTCATTGTGCATGCTAAATTTGTGGGTCAGCTTCCTTTGTAATATAAAGACAAAAGACTCCCTAAATATCTAATTTGCTCCTAGAGGCGAGTGGAGAAGTTGCAAAAGTGGGCGAAAATGTGTATTCTAATTGCAACAAGTGCAGAAGAATATCCTGAATTTTATAACATGAGCCTTTTTAATATTAGCCTTGAAAAGCATATGAATATAGTATTAAAAAGAATAGTATTCTGCCAACGGATATAGTAGAAAAATAATTTTTCATAAATTTATTAAATTCAACGTAGAAATAAACTTGTTTGAATCAATTCAAAAAGAAAAATACTAAATGAAGTCTAAAAATCTTTTGTATTATTCATTATCAATGAACCATCCGAGGTGTTAATTAGAAAAAGTAAATAGCCTGGGAAGATAGTAGAATAAGCTTCACAGCTAGCCTTTTTACAAAGTGCATGCCTGCTCACCTATTCTTATTTTCGTTAACTCTTGCTCAAATTGAGGTGTGTACGTGATTGCAGATTTGTAGAATTACTGCATGCATGGTCTTTTTTTTTTTTTTTTTTTCCTTTCGCCAAAGTTTTTGAGACTGGCATATGATGATTAAGTGGTGTGGTGACAAACAAACTTGATTTGAACTTATTATAATCAAGTGTTATATTTATATAATAAATTAAATAATTAATTATTATATTATAATCAAGTCATAATTATTAAAACTAAAAAATTATAAAATAATCAAATTCATACACTATAAGATTTGAACTTAAAACCTCAAGACTTTAGAATTTATTTCTTGCCAATAAGTCAAAGTTTCGTTGGCTCAAACAAATTCCATACATATAATCATTATATGTGTGTGTATATATATATATATATATATATATATATATATTATTAGTCCCAAGTTAACTGTTTTCACTTGATCATTATGGCAAATTAAGAAACAATAAATCACCTATAATTAGGTTCAAATGATGGAAATATATAATATTTCAATCAATTAAGTCAGAAAACAAAGGGCTAGAAAATAATCTTTGGATCTTGCCATATGAATTCATGATTTTATCTTATCTACCTTACAAGGTCTAAGGTAAAAGGACACAGACATGAGTACATTTTTTGTTTTTAGGTTTAATACAAAAAAACATATGCTCGAATTTTAGTTAAAAAAAAAAAAGAGAGTTAAAACCCTGACCTTTTATTATATATAAAAAAGATTATAATTTTTTTTTATAATTACGATCATAAATTTTTAAAAATCAATTAAAAAAGTCTAATTGCAACAATTTTTAAAGTTGTTCCATTACTTAAGTTATTCTATAAAAATTAGTCTAATAGGAATAATGGAACACTAATTATGACTTATTACATGTTTAATTATAAGCAATTTTAGATAAAAAAGTTAATTTTCCGAATTTCTAATTGGATTTTTTTTATTGATTGTAAAAGTATGGTTACAATAAAAAAATAAAAGATATAAATTTATTTAATTACACACAATGAAAGGTCATGAGCTTAATTTCATTTTTTTATTAAAATTCAAGTGTATATTTGGATAATAAACCCTGTTTTTACCATTTATCTTTGCTAATTTCTAGCATTAGAAATTTAACCTTTATTCCTTACTACAAGTTACAAGGAAAGAAAGAGAAAGAGAGAAATGTTTCCTTAGACTCCAACAAACATAACCTTAAATATATATTTTGTTTGGTGGATCTTGTTATATGTAGCTATGCAATAGATCTTAATTAATTATACTTTAATCATTGATCATTGAAATTAAAAAAGAATAACGATGTCAGAGTTGTAAATCACTCTCACAACAAATTTCAAGTTTTAAAGTTTATACTCATATTTGGCTTTGGAATAACTTCTTTCTAATATATGGAGTTTGTAAGGAAAAGATGCATGATACAAACATTCTTAGTTAGCTAAAAAAATTACTAGTAGTCTCAATTTGATTATGCCTTTAAAAATCTCAATTCAATTAACAACAGTACTTTTAATTATAGCTCAAAGTTCCACAGTACTCTCTTTAATAATTCTCTTTTAATGTCATCTCTCTCGTCAATCAATTTTTCCTTTTTTTTTTCCTTTAATTATGAAAGGTCCTTCTAAAGTTTGTGAACCCATGGACCAGACCAAACATTATCATCATCATTATGACCTCCATAGCTTCAACAGGCATAAATTCTGCTACTATAAATTATATATATATATATATATATATGTTGTTTGATCATCGGTGGAGCACCATGTCAAAAATGGGTAGATCATAACCATGTAATTGTATAGGATTCTATGTGTCAATCTGGATAAGGATCTGACTAATTTTCCCATCAATTCAGCTATTTGTTTGCCTTTTTAGTATATTCACGAGTGATGGTGCTGGCAGGCAGGTAGGCAGGCCATGGAAGAAATGAAAGTGACAAAAAAAGGTGGTTATACCTCATAGGAATGCAAATGCTTAATTATTGCACAACATGGGACTCTCCTATTACTTTTGGATATATTGCCATTATGATCATGATTTCCTGCATTCAAGTTGGGTAACTTTGCATTTTCAAGTCAAAACATCTGCAGTTCTCAACCAACCGGTTGGGATAACAAGGCTTATTAATTTAGGCCCCAATCTCTCTTTCTTTGCAGCAAAGTCTTGGAAAAGTTGAATTTGTTACGTCCATTTACGTTCTGGTCCGAATTTAAGTTCTTTACTACGAAGTTCTCTCCCTTCGATGGGAAATGGATAGTTTTGATACCAAAACTTGGTCAGAAGCTATAAAGAAATACACAGTTATGCATGTTTCATAGTCGTACATCCTCGAAGGGACTCACTATAAAATAATTAATTCGACTACCTGACCATTTTTTTTTTGGCAGTTCTAAAAGTGTGGTTACCTGAATATTCAGTGAATTTCTATAAATTTGTAGTTCTTGGATCCTAGAAGCTGGAACTTTTTTTTTTGGTTTAATTTCTGCCCATTGAAAAGACCTTGGTGCTACTACTTTTAGAATCGAGGGTTTCTAGCTTTTTCTTCTCTGCATCCATAACCACACATTACCTTCACCTAGTGCAGAAAGTAGAGGTTCTTTTGTCGTCAAATCATAAGCTGGATGCATGGAATAATTAAAATTTTGATAATAGAAAAAAACAACAGTAACAGATACTTTTCCCTCCTTCTTGAGTGGAAGATTGGTTTAGAAGCAAAGATTGCCTGTAATGTGATATTTTAACCCCCAACATGGCGGCTGATCTCATTCTTTTTGGCAGAATTCCAACTTTTATACTAATATCACCATTCAACTGACTAGGTTTATATCAAAAGTAATCAAGGCTTAGGGGCAACCTAAGCTTTATCTAGAGTCAAAAATAAGTCAGCCAAGAAGCATGGAAAGTTTTAGGGGGGGGGGGGGTGGGATGTTACATCAAACTTGATTGGCTAGTTGAAAATTTTAAATATCTAATAATTGGTTTTGGGAATTCTACTTTTCGATCATATATTTTCATCAACCTTTACAAAAAGATTAACATAAGAGTAAAATTATCGCATGTTTATTATTGTGTTTAAAGCAAGTGAAAGAATAAGAAAGGTAGATGTATTCTTTAAGAAGTTAAGGTGATGTTATTTTACATATGTTAAATTTTAAGTTTTATATGATTTTATATGCAAGTTAAGCCCTTTTATCTATTATTAATTTGTTTTAGGTTAAAGATTTATTGTGGTATCAAAATTTACGTTTTTGTTTTTGTAGAATGTTAATGAGTCAATCTAAATGCAATTGTAATCAAATTATATATAAGGGTTAACGTATGATCCTTAAATTATAATAAAAAATTTAATGTAATATTTAAATATTAAAAATCTCTAATTTAATATCTGAATTACGAATCTATTGGTTAATGTAACATTTATATGATTGTTTATTAACAACATGTTATCATTTAAAATTAATTATGTTAAAAGTGAATATTACATTAATTAATAAATTTATAATTAAAATTCAGATATCACATTAAATATTTTACTATAATTTATGAATCATTTTTTATATTAACCCTTATATACAAAAGGTATATTTTAATTAAGCATGTTTACCGCTTTCTTTAGGCTATTGCCCCTTGGATAGGGTTTTGTAGAGAAGGTTTGTCTGAAACTTCTTTTTAAGACTCGACTTTGATTATGGAATAATATGTGGGAGTGTTGCAGTGGAGATCAAGACATGGATGGATACGACAAGGCCAACCATAGCCAACCAAACCTGATATGTCAGAAAAATGAGAAAGAAAAACCCAAGTGGGAATTAATGTCACAAAGACATAATAGAAAAATTGGAGTTGGGAATACGTAAGATAGGCACCACCACTTCCCAATAATTCAACCATTATGACCACCTACAAGTTGCCTTAATAATATTTTAATTGTGGTGGCACTAAAATTTTATTTTCTCTCCTTTTTTTCTCTTTCTCTGAATGCCATGTAACTCATTATTCACGTACATCGATCATTTAAGAAGTGATGAAAGTTCGAAAGGCTTTCCATGATATATAGGAAATTATCTTTTCGGTATCTGATAAAATTATGCAAGAATTCAAGTGAAATGAAATATATATATATATGTATGTATATATGAAAGGTTTTTTCATCTTGGAAAAAGAAGGCCTCCATGTGTCCATATCTTGTAACAGTTTCATGAAGATGGACATGAATCTTGAGACATAATATCTGTATATATAATTGCTGGCTTGAGTAGAAGGAACATGACAGGTTTCAGCAGAGATAAACCCTATCCTAAATCTTTTTTTTTTTAAAAAAGTACTCCACTTTTCCTCCTTGATCATGGTAGAGGAGAAGTATAATTAAATTAGACAATAATTGGTTTTTGGAAGGAAGCTTTAATTTGCTCTGTGCAGATATTTATGAATGTAAATGAATTACATGTACATACGAGAATCCTTAAGGTTGTGTTTGTTCATGGAAAAGCTTCATGCAAAACTTGAGAGGAATCTAATTTTTGTACCAAAATAAAAGTATGAAACTCATTTTTTATTATTTGTGATAATTAATTAATAAAGTAAAATTTTAGACCTTAGTTACCCTAATTTCTTTTAGGCATTAAAAAAAAGTAGAGAAATTATTTGGCTAGGGTTTTGGTTTTTATTTTTATTTTTAAATCTCTTAAAATTTTCTTTTTCATCAAAAATTTTTTTCGAACTAAATAAAGCCCATGTGTTTTCTTTTTTCCTTTTGGGCAATTCACCAATTTTTTTTTTATTTGAAATTGTCAGGTAGGGTCTCTGGTCTTTATCATTTAGGCATAAAGTTGATGTTATTGTTACTATAAGCTGAAAGCAGCTCATGGCATTTATTTTCCGTTTATATAGCAACAAAATTAATGGATTTCATCTTATATACTTAACTGCTTTTGTTTGACTTTTTAAAGTTGTAATTATTAATATGATTAGAAGACGATTGATTTAGGACAGATAAAATGGCATGCTTTGAATTTTGATTTGAGCTGTAGTATTAGGTGCTACAAGCCAACAACTAATCATGTTTCTGATGACTTCATGCCTCGAAATAATAAGAAAGGTAAGCATGCATGCACACGTGATTCATGGAAATACATCCATCAAAGTTTTGTTTTGTATTTGTTTGAAAGTTGAAACTGGCTGTCAAGTGTTTAGTTGGAAAACCAATGTCGGTCTCAACATTTAAGTTATACTGACAGACTAAAGAAGAAAGGAAATTGAAGTAATGAAGAGATGGATTGGTTACCAGGCAGAATTCTATCAGCCTCTCGCCTTGTATGTTTTGGAAGTCTCGTTAAAACCCAATCCATAGAATTCCAAAGGTTTGGGGTTAAATACTGGTGGGAACTGGCACCATAAGAAAAAATTTTCCCTTTCTATCAAAATTACTATAAAAAACAGAATCCAACCCAAGAACTACGCCAACTAACTCATTCAAAACCCTAGACAACCAAGGAAAAAAGGAATGCAAAGCGAACCACTTGAATTAAAAAATTGGAGGAGATGGCCATGAAGTTTATCAGCTGATAAATTAAGGAAGGGTAGGCACGACCAAATGTTTAGATTCCGTTACAAATGGTGGTAAATAAAGAGTACCATCATTGGTTTTTGAAACAACAATCTTACACCACTAGCAGAGCTGATGTCAAATTTTCACCTATTTCAATTTTGTACCAAGTTAAACAAATAGCTTCCTCATCTTTGTGCATCCTTTGTATGGTAAAAATTAGTCACATCACTCAGCCTGTGAAGTCAAGTGAGGGATCTCACCAAAAACACAGAGCTTGATGGTAACTACAGGCACAGAAGTAGAGCCGTACAATCGTGGTACCTCAAAGGGATCATCGCATTACCGACTCTTTTACATAGGATCTGCCTCCTGAACTGCAAAAGTGAAGATCAGAAAGTTGATGAGCCATAACCATTTACCCAACAGAAGGAAAGCTACTCCTTAGCTTAGAAAACTGCTGTTACTCACGAGTACTCAAGATGAATATTCATAAATCGACGGTTTTCTTTGCTTTGAGATAGTGTTAGAGAGCCTTCAATGATTTGATCTTGTTCCACCTCTACCGGGTCATAAAAGTATATCAATGTCTGCAAAATTCATGTCCTAAACATTAAAAAGGGTCCATTATAGAATATAACCAGTAGCTGCATGCAAGTTATCAGATGTAAAAATGATAGGACTTCTTCACAGTTAAACTTCATAGTTAAGTAAAGTTGACCGTTCAGGCTTTTGTTATGCTCAAATCAATAGCATAATTCTTAACAGATTCAAACAATTTTTGTCTGCAGGTGTGTCTTTGTCTGCAAAGTCAGCACCTGTTGCCAATGTGTTGGAGGATCCTCTGGTGCTGTTGAGAGTAGAAGTGCTTCATTGGGATTGGGTCGTTTCTTCTTCAGGATGCCATCCATAGGATTATTATTCGATGTGCCAATAAGTGAAGATGGGGTATGATTATTTGTAGGAGAATTTGCTGGCCCATTGAATTCAACATCAAACCAAAATGCAAATCCATGTAGTGGAGCTGGGAATCAGGGAAGTATCAAGTATGAATACTGTGCTTAAAATGCATAGACATACTAAGAAAAATTGCAAGGAACAATTCTGTAAGTTAAAAATAGGAACATAAAACTATGGCCAACAGAAAATGATGTAAATGATGTGAAACGACGGTAAACCAAAAGCCCTTAAAGAGTCCCTTCCAGAAGAGAAGATAAATTGATTACATCACTGCATAACATCTCAATTTTACAGTTCGCACACACAATGGTAATCCTGACACAGCTTGTGTGCACACACACAAAAAGAAGACGTCATATATAGAAAGGCACAAATTCAAGGGAAGGCTTACCTCGCATCATAGACTGGAACTTATATCTTGTAGACACAGATTCTAGCTCATGGAGTTGGATAGTGTAGCAGTCCACATGCTTAACCTGTTAATGATAATAAATTTAAATGCCTTTTGATGGGCAATTTCAGAAATATGTTAAAATAAACAATGTTATAGTGCTCATAATTTGGGTGTATAACCTGGACAAATGCTGCTGGTAAAGAGAATGTCTCAATCAACAGCCACATGACACTGATGTGAGAAATGCATGACATATTGTTATATCACAATTTTAATATACGAAGAAGCCATTAGGATGCACAGACACCATGTGTGCACTTACAACTCATGTCTAGGTGTTCTAAGGAGATTGTGGTTTGTTAGGTAAAGATGACAAATGATATGATAAACCTAACACTTGGTCAGGAAGATTATTGTAAATGCACCAAAAACAACACACTAAGCCTTATATCCCATATTCTGGGGTCAGCTGTATGAAAAACCAAATAAGATAATCAAATTCGGTTGTAGTTTGAATCCTCTTGTGCCATGCATTTCTATCAACAACCACTTTTTCATCTAATTCCTTAACCATCATGTTGTTTTTTATTACTTGCATTCATATCTTTCGTGATCTACCTCTAGATGTTTAATCTCTCCTAAATCTAGAGTCTCAATTCTCCTAACTGGTGCACAACTAGGTCTATGTTTCGCACATCCAAACCACTGCAAATAGCCCTCTCTCATCTTGTCTTCAATTTGGACTACCCCTAATTTTTTTCAAAACTGTTCATTTCTGATTTTGTCTCTTTTAGTCTTACTAGACATCTATCTAAGCATTCTCATCTTTGCTACGTTTATTTTCTTCTCATGTTGTTTCTTAATAGTTAAACACTCAATTCCATATGGTAATGTAGGCCTTACAGTTATTTAATACAACTTCACCTTTAAATTTAAAGGCATGTTGCGATCACATAACCCAATGCACTTTGCCACCTTGCCCATCCTACTTGAATCCTATATTTGACATCTGCTTCTATCTCAGAATCACTCTGAATAATTGATCCCAAATATTGGAACTGGCTAATCTTTGGTACTCCCTCACCATCCAACTTAATCACACTAGTACCCACTTTCTTGTGATTACTAAACTTGCATTCCATATATTCAGTTTTAGATATACTCAATTTAAAACCTCGAGACTCCAATGTCTCTTCCATAATTCTAATTTCGCATTAAGGGCATCACATGTTTCCGCAATTAAAACTATATCGTCAGCAAATAACATTCACCGTGGCACCTTATCTTCGATACGTCAAGTGAGCTAGTCCATAAGTAATGCAAAAAGGAAAGGATTTAGTGCTGAGCCTTGATGTAATCCTAAGGTAATAGGGAAGCTATCTGTCATGCCCCCAACCATCCTCACATTCGTTACCACTCCTTCATACATATCTTTAACTGTGTTGATGTACTTTAAAGGGACTCCTTTCTTCATTAAGGCCCACCAAATCACCTTTCGAGAAGCTCTATCATATGCTTTCTCCAAGTCGATAAATGCCATATGTAGATCTTTCTTTCTCACCTGAAAACCTTCTAATAAAAGCCTCAAAAGGTGGATCACCTCTATTGTGGAGCGTCCTAGCATAAACCCAAATTGGTTTTCGAAAATAGTTACCTCACGTCGCAACCTACATTCAATTACTCTCTCCCAATGTTTCATAGTATGACTCATAAGTTTTATTCCTTGATAGTTTGAACAATCTTGTTTTATGCAAATGCACCAAATGGACAAAAAATGATATTTAAAAAAAATTCACAGGCACGAACCAAATGTAATAAACTACAACTGAGAAAATTTCAATAGTTACATACTTGTATTTACAGAAAATAAACTTCAGTCTTTCCAAGTACAGAAATCGGTTGAGAAATCAAAGGGAGACTAAAGTGAGAGAATTAGAACACTCACCACATGCGGCCATGTCAAAACATTCTCCCCCGTTATTGTCTCCACACATGGCTCTTCAAATGCACACTGTTTTGCAAGCTGCAACATTGCAGACACTGCAAGAGAAAATAACATCATAATTGCCGATTAACATACAGTCAAAACAGAAACAAGCTACAAGTAAAAGGCATGAGTGCTGCAATTTCTGAGCAGGTTGTTAGAAGTTAATTTCACATAAATGCATGGAACAAAAAAAATCTAATTTAGCATATACTCACTATCAATTCCATAGACATTGCGCCAAAATTCAATGCTGTCCCTGTATCTGTCAGGGTGTGTGATGGGTGCCATGTATAACTGCAAGCAGTAAAGAGTGAAAATAAACAGTAAATAAATAGATTTTCATCATATGAGTACCATATTCTGCAACACAATAAAGCTTCATATGATTCAAGATTCAAGACATGACTGTTAAACAAAATGGAAAAAGAAAAAACAAGCTCAATTACACTGCCAGGCCCAGCTAGTAAAACAAAATTACACTATACTAGTATGAAGTGAAACAAACCGTTGCATTGGAAGGAAGAATAAGGCCTCCACGTTTTAACCACCGATCTCTAGCAGTAATGACACTTCCCAGCATACTCTGGAAAATCATAATGAGGATGATCACAATGATACATATTCAAAATGCAAGGAAAATAAAAGTAAAAGAATAAAAGGATATAGAATCAATTGTCCGAATAAAAATCATGCTTTGATCTCAACCTCAAAGAGTTTCTGGAAATCTCTTCAAAATAATTTAGGATAAGATCATGTGTGGTTTTAACAATCACCTCATACAGAAGCATGTAGCCCATCCACTCTGAAATTATTACATCAACCTCTTCCTCAATTTCAACATCCTGTAGAAATTATAGCTAGTATAAATTGTCTGAAATTCAGAAGGAAATAAGTGAGTTAAAGGGAAGGAAATGTTTCTCAGAACAGTGCGAAGCATGTAGCTGTCCCCCCCCCCCGACCACCACCACCACCACCACCACCACCAAGTAGAAAATTTATTGGTAGATATAGATTCCAAACACAAAAATGCACAAATGAGATTTGGTTCTTCATTATCTTAAATGACCAGCCTCATACACTAATGTAGTCTGCAATAACCACAGCTTTCTTGTCTCCTTCAAAGAAAGAGACAAATAACAGAAATATCTAATCATTGTTCAGTAAATAATACATGAAGTGATACACCTGTGTGCTGAATCCAAGCCAATATGCAGGCTGGCAACACCAGCAAACAGCATGATAGGCCAATATCCTATAGGTGCAAGCTTCACTAATTATTATCTTATGATCACCATAACCATGAAAGGAGCTCATATCAAGTATGTGAAAGATGGGTAAACTGACCTAATATATCCACAATTGCAACCATTATTGCACAGTTATCTACCAATGAGAGCATCCAGAAGATGCTATCACAATCACTTCATCCAAGATCCAACAATTGGACAGAATAGAAAATTTCCCTTATCCATAATGAAAGTTAAACACCAGCACCAATGCAAAGTCTTAAAATGTTGTGCAAAAGCAAATCACCACATAAAGGTCCCCATCCTTTTTGCATACAGCAACAAGTCTAATTCCAACTTGATTTTACACTGCAGCTAGTGTTCCCTTAACCTTGAGAAAAAATGCATGAGTAATCTCTAATCCCACGATGTTGAAAACCAATCTTTGCAGTTTCATAGATAAACAAATGATTCTCACTAACTTTAAAAGTTAAAGGAAAGAAAGCAATCTAACACTAATTTGGCCTACTGGTTGTTAGTTTGTTACCCTCCAATGAAGGCTCAAGGTCCAGGATTCAAGTCCCCAGCCCCAACCTCATCCAAATGTTGATAAATATAGTACCTTGTTCTTTTCTCAAATATGCGAACAGATTAAGTCCATTAAAACATAAAAATGGATATTCTTGTGATATTACACATAAGCCTAAGAGGAAAAGCCTACCTCAACTCGACCATGCAAAACGATGACCTTTTCATCTAAGTTATTCGCTTTCACAACTTCACTTGCCTGCTTGCAAATAGCAAAGAACAATAAAAACCCAATAGCCAGTTTCATTTCCAATACAAGAAGCCAGGTCTAGATAAGTAAAATAACATATATATTAACTAGTTTTTATGCTCTAATTGTTGTGTGAACCAGATCTCATAATTTCATTGTTGTGATTAACACAGTGAGAAAACAATAATGGAGATGAGAAAAGGAAAAAGTGCTAAATCACCACTCTCGAAACAGATGGTAAAATTGCCTCAGTAATAAGCAATTAAGCAGTAATGCCAAAGTACCTGCACTGCAATATCACTTGCATCCACTGCATACACCTGAGAACACATAATCACTTTAAATACTAGACAGTTTTACTTTAGATGAATCCATCAACATTAACAACAAGAATATAACTTTGAGCTAGCAAGAGACTTTGAACTTCTAAAATATAATAAAGAACAAAATTAAAGTTCTATCTACACTTCTCTTCGTCAATAGATTAATAGAAGCTTTTTGTCTTTTTTAATGATAAAGTTATAAAATTTACATAGAAACTAGTTAGAGAAAAACTACAGGAAATCAAAAAAGTTGAACACAATTTAACTACTAGCAATCCCCCTGCACTTATTAAAAAAAGTAATCTTCAAAAATTAGTTGAAACTAGTACCACATGATATACAGAAAATTGAGATTAAATCAATTTTCAAATAAATTTCCACTGACACTGCCATTATAAATATGTCAATTATACAATATGCACTTCAGGACATATTACCCGCTTTGCACCAGCTTGAGCACAAAATATTGAAAGAATGCCTGTGCCACATCCAACATCCATTACAACCTGTCAGCACGATCACACGCAATAATGAGGAAGAGGAATGAACCAGCTAAATATTGTTAGGAAAGCAGTTTTTAAACCAACCGGGGAGTTTGAGAGCAAGATGCTTCGTATCTATGTTTTTATAAGATACAAATGCATTTCACCTAGGTATGAGATTATAGTGGGTGAAGTATAATGTTATGACTGGATGAAATGGGAATCGTACACAAAATGAAACCAAGTACGATAATGCAAACATAATACAGAACTATCCTCATATTATTAGATTTTGAGCACAAAAAGAGATCATATATAATTTTATAACTGAGACTACAACAATGGTATTACTTTGCCTTCAATAAAACTCTGGTGTTGAAAGATTGCAGCCCTGTAAGTTTCAGTTCTAACTCGATCCTGTATGCTTCAAAAAAAAAGTATGATCAGAGAATTGTCATGAACTTTTTTATTATTATTTAAAAAGGCAAAAGGTGATTCAACATTTGCAACTGATAGTCTGATACAAGCTCACGACTTTGTCAAAATTATACAATTCCATAAGAAGCTGGATAAAGTGTTCATAAGTATATAATTAAAAAAACTTTCCTTAAACAACAAACTATAATTTAGAGAAGCCACCATTGGAAAGAGCTCAAGTCAATAAATATCCAATCACCAAATGAAGAACGCAAAGCTTAACTTAACAGACTTGCCAGTATTAAAACGTTTGGACACAAATGTAAAATCAACCTTGCTTACAAAGAAGTCAGCACAGAAATGTAGTTAATTAATAAATAATAACAAACACATATTTTTAAAACAAAGAAGATGGAGATATGAGAAAAACTCAAATTTGAATTCCCATATTAAAGCTCTCACTCTGAGTCACGACCTTGGCAACCCCGACCTCACATTGCTATAAACCATGAAATTTAAACACTTAAAACTTCCCAAAAACAAAACCCACAAAGCTAAAAGTAAAAGAAATTCTCCCAAGTCCCCAAAGAAGTATCAACAAAACAAAATAAACCTAGATAAGAACAAATAAGTAGCGAGCAAAAGAACAAAAAGTAAAGACCTTGATCATTTCTTCGTGGATGCCGACGTGGGCATAAGAGTGAAAGTAGGCCATGTCGAAATCCGTACAAGGGGGAGGTGATTTCTGTTCTTGCTGGTCGTTGTTGTGGTGGTGGTGCTCAGAAACCTTAAAGCCATGAGCGTCACGGGACCTACGACCTCCCCTCCTCCCTCGACCTCCCCCTCGCTTCTCTCCCGAGCTCTGCTGCTGCTGCTGTTGATTTTGGACGTAGCCATTACTGTATTCCGTGCTTCCATACATTTTATCCTTACTTCTTTTGGTTCTTCTCTTCTGGGTGGGATGGAAGCAGCAATTCGCGGGCACTGTGTGAGATGGTGGCCAATGGCAGCGTTTTTGTTGGGATTTTTGTCAAAAACCCAAAGAAGGGATGATGGCTTTTACTGTTGTTGAGAGACCAAATCAAACGAAATAGGGGTTAAAGGTTAAGGTTACGGGTTTGCGGTGGGTTTGGAAAAGAGTTGAAAATGCGAGCTTAGAATAGAGAAAAGGGCTTCCGGCTTCCACGCTCTCATCTAACCCTTTACCTTCCGCTGATTGGGATTTGGGATGATTTAATACTTATCCCTTGAAAAAACAAAAAGCTTGAGAAATAAAATCTTCTCTTATTTTACTTTTTATTTTGGGATGATATTGAAATAAAATAACGTTAGTTTACTTGTTTTAATTTTCTCTAAAATTCTGGACTTAAAAAAAAAAAGAGTGTGTATATTTATATTCAATAAATACATAATAAAACATGAAAATCTTTTTTTAGCCAATATTTTTTTTAAAATTCCTTGTTATTAGTATAAAAATAATACAATATATTTCACAAATTATTTAGAACTAAAAAATACTTACGTTACACGATGGGATCTACAATTATTAAAAAATATAATATTTTTAGTTAGTATTTAAAATATTCTTGTTGTTAGTACGATATCATCTTTTTTTTATTAAATGTTTAATAAATATGTATTTTTAAAAAATCAATCAATTTACCATAACACCTTATAATTGGATTATTTGATTATGTATGTAGTCACAATTTTCTTTTATTTTTAAAGAGTATAAATAATTTTTTATATCACTATTTTTTAACTTTTTATTGTTTTGATATATATTTAATGATTATTTTTCACGTAAAAGTAATACAATAATTTTAGTGGAAGACATGAAATATTATGATAATACTAAGATTAAATAAAAGAAAATGAAAATATTTAAACTTAATATGTGATATATTGATATTGTATTTTTGTTGTTGGTTATTCGTGTTAGGAAATATTGTAATTTCTTTTATTTTCGTGAGGTAATTGAGGGTTTTAAAGGGTATTACGGGATTACAAATTATTTTTAAAACTTTTTATTATATTTGATGCCTGTTATCTATATTTTTTATTATTTATTTTATTTTATTATAATATTTATAATTATAGGTAGTTTTTTTATTTTATAATTTTTTGATAATTTTGAAATATATGAAAGTATTATTTTTTAAATTAAATGAAAATATTCTTTTTTAAATTATAGATGACAATATTCTTAAAAAACCTCAATCTTATCTTGAAATACTTTGGTAATTATTTTTGTACCTTGAAATATGTAAATTAGTTAGTATTTGATATATTGTAAATTTAAATTTTTAATTTCACAAATAATGACAAGAGATTGACACATACTTCATTTTTTAATTAATTTTTTAAAATATAGCATAACAGATATATGTTATCTTTTAATTTTGCTTATAAAGTTTAAAAGTTTTACTGTCAATATATTTGATAATTTTTTTTGTAAAATATTCTTAAAAATCATTTATCCTATCAAAAAAATATTTTGATATTTTTCCTTATATCTTAGAATCCTTAAAATAACTTAAAAATCCTCTATCCTATAAATATTTTGATAATTATTTATGTATATAGAATTTAATATACTTATTATTATGTATATTATACAAATTATAGATTATAGACGAACAATGCAAGTAACCATAAACACACATACACGTGCGAGTCATGCTAATTAGCCCGATCAAATTTTGACCTAGTTAAATAAAAATGGGCTTCCAATTAACCTTTTGAAGATATACTGGTAAGACCCATCATTCTGCAATTTTGATGGGTTAGGATTTTAAATTGGATGACAAATTATCATAATTTCATAGCATTTATTCATATCATCTTGGTTGACCTTAGTTTTATTTTTCATCAATAAATTTTTCTCAGTTTTTTAAATTTTCATTATTAATTGTTAAGTTAATAGCATGTATAGTCCTTTTATTTTGTGTTATATATCATATCGATCTTTAAAATTTGAAAAATTATAATTAAGTCTTCACTTACCTAAACGTGTATCAATGTGATCTTTTCATTTGCTGGACCATTTAAATTGATGATAATTCACACATGATATGACACATAATCTTACAAACTTTTTTTACGTGGAATTTTTTAATATCCATTAAGCAAATAAAACAAGTAAAAAACACTTTTGCAATATCCACAACAAAAAATTAAACCAACTAAAAAAAAAGAAACTTTTACAAATTTTAGGGTGTTGAAGAGAAAAAAAAAAGAGTTTGAAAGAGAAGAATTGAGGGTTGAAAATAGGAGCTAAAGGTTGAAAGGGAGGAGTTACGGGTTACCCTATAGAAGATATAGGCTTGTTACCTATTTATCATTGTGGTCAACAAGTTTGAATTAAGACATAATGAACTGACACTAACCAGGTTGTTGATTTTTCGATTATAACAACAATGGGGTAAGAACATAACATTTTTTTTATTATTAATTGAATTTAGGGTTTTATAGATGGAGTAAAATTTTGATGACATAACAAATGTGCAATGGATTTTGAATATAGGTTTAGAATATGTGAACAGAACTATTGATTTTGAATTTTGTAGAAATTTAAGAACACAGCAAATTAGTGTGTATTATTTTGAATATGGGTTGCAAGCAACAACAATAGGTAGCAAATTATTATTTTTGTGATTTTTATTTCTTTAATTTAGTGTGTTTTTATTCATTTGATTTGGTGATGGTTTTTGTTTAAATTTGCAGCAATTTGGTGCATGTGGGTTTTTTCAATGGTATGATCCTCCAATAGATGAACAGAGTAAGGCAGTCATTCTAGGTTTGTTAAGAAGGTTGTGAAGAATGGAACATCAAAATCAAATCACTTTAGATAATGCAAACAACAACAATTGTAAGAATAAAATTGAAAGTGGATTGCAATATGTTTGCTTATTGTTATTTTTATGTTGTTGTTGAAAAGAAATTGAATAAAATTTAGTAATTTGTTTAGGGTAATTGGCTTGTAATATGTATGCTGTCGATTTAAAGCTATTTATGTTTCTAAACTTGCATATTTTGTGTAATATGAATATATTTCATGGATATTAATGCAAGTTTGCTTTTAAAATTGCATATTTCTAAACTTACATATTTTGTGTAATATGATTATGTTCACATCAGAATCAATAGAATGATCTTAAGAATAGAACAACTTTGTACATTACTATTTGCTAGCAATAAGTTTGTAAAACACTTTTATAAATAATGACTACTGTTTACATCACATAAGTAATGACAATTGCTTGCTAGCAACAAGTTTGTAGAAATGACTATAAGTTTGTAGAACATTTTCATACAGAATAGAACACTTTGTAATAAGTTTGTATAACACTCATATACATAAGTAATAATTTCATATTTTCATTTTCAATGGCAACAAAATATAAGTTTGTACACTTGAATGTTAGCAAGTTTTGTACACTTCAAAATACTTAAATATAAGTTACACTATGTAAAGTTTTGTACACTTCAATGCCAATAAATTCATATTCCAAATTGGCTACATTGAAATTTCATAGCAAAATTAAACACAATGTTCTAACTACACTAAAATTTTCCAGCATAATCAAATATTATGTTAACAAAAAATACTATTTTGGACAAAATAAGCTTCATTCACTATGCAAACTTCATTCATTATGCAAAACTTCTAGACACTATACTGCTTGGCCATAGGCTTTCTGGGCAACATACTTGAACAAGTCTTTTATGGAAGCTAAACTATGTGAAAGAGATGTTTAACCTTAAATTGCACACAATGATAAAAATTACAAAAAAAAAAAAAAAAACCATAATTTGATAGTGACCTTAAAGCCAACCAAAAACCAAATTTATTGTTTATTTACTTCATTAGAAATTGAAGTATGAGTAAGATTCAACATTGCACTTTATGTATTACTTTGTGAATATTGCGTACCTAATGATGGATTGCTATGATATATAGTCTGACTTGAACCCTTAAATATAACAAATCATGAAGATTAAACAAAATTAATATATAGTTAAGTCATTATTAACCAATATAAATATAAATACTTATATTAGGCATCTATCTAAGTATGAGTAAGATTCAACATTGCACTTTATGTATTACTTTGTGAATATTGCGTACCTAATGATGGATTGCTATGATATATAGTCTGACTTGAACCCTTAAATATAACAAATCATGAAGATTAAACAAAATTAATATATAGTTAAGTCATTATTAACCAATATAAATATAAATACTTATATTAGGCATCTATCTAAGTGTTACATCATGCAATGGAATTGACTATTGTTATTGCTATTGGTGTTTGCTGCTACAATATTCCTTATTGCTGGAATTAGAATTAATTGTTGTTGTTGCTGTTGGACAAATATGCTTTGTTGGTTGGATTTGGGTATACCTAATTGTTGGATAAAAAAATGGAAAATAAATAGTATCAATTCAAGATTATTTGAGAAACAATAACATTTACATAAAATTATGGAATTGAAACTATTAACTGCATTTGATTGTACTCGTGAAATGTTATTGCAAGACCTTTTATTGTGACCATTTTGTCCACATTTTGAACGTGACATTGTGACTCTTACTTTTTTAACCTTAGCATTTATGGTCTTTATTTCATTAGGTTTTTTTCTTTTCTTGGTTTTAGGTTTGCTAAGTTGTTTAATTTACATCCCTGAAGGTTTATGTAGTCAGATGGAGGTCAACAATTTTCACCCTTGATTGGATTAATGGCTTCATTGTAGATCTTTATTTATCCGTCAACAGTATATATTAAGGATGGCAACAAGTTAGGTTAGAGGGTTTTTGCTCGCCCTGAATACAATCCAACTCTATATTCATAATACTCGAACCTGACCCAATGATTTTTTTTTATCCGAACGTAACCCGATATGATATTATGTAAAATCATACTTAATCCAACCCGATCTGAAATTAATAAAATAATATTTTTTAAAATATAAAATATTATTTTTAATGTAAATATAAAATTAAATAAATAATTAAAAAATAATTATATATATACTAGATTGGGTCAGGGTGGGTTTACCTAAAACTCGACCCTGATTTTATTCTACAATTATCCAACTTGATCTGACTCGAAACCTAATTTTAAAAAAAAAATTGACCCTAAAAGGTCCAATCAGGTCAAAACCCATCAAGCACGGGTTGGGTTACCATCCTTATGTAATATTCATGCACATAGTTTTTAGCCTACTCCTTGTTGAACAAAATTATAGAAATTACATGTGGGCAAGAATATTAGATAA